TTTTTTTTTTTTTTTTTTTTTTTTTTTTTTTTTTTTTTTTGCCTATTTTAATGTCGTTTTCAAGTTTTGGTTTGGTGTGGGTTCTTTATTGAAGTGCTTTTAAAATTGTCTATTTTTGGGGCCCTTCTGAATATCTCATAGAAAAGGGGTCTTTTGGCGTAGAATTTGCCTTTATTGGCATGGATCTCTTTTCTGTTCTATAAATCCTCATTGCTTTTTTGACTCAAAAAGCTTTAATTTCTTTTACCTTTTTTCTTTGTAGTTTTTTTTATTTTTTTATTTTTTATGTTTCTGCCATATGGGGCTCACTATCACCAAATCTATTCTAATGCCCTTTCTGTTCTTCTATCACTAGAATGCAAATAATGGCTTTTCCATCCCACTTTTTAACACAAACCCATGTAATTTAAGGAAGACAGACAGAGAGAGAGACTATATAGTATTTATTGTGTTGTATTTGTTTAATGTCTCAAACCATATGATATAAGACATTAATGTCGTTATGTTATGTTTTGTTACATATGATATTTTATGTAACAAAACATGTCCAAACTATACCTTAAAGTGGATATTCATTTTGTAACACTGGTTGGTCTGCTAGTGGAAACGCTGCGCCCAACGAGATGGATTATGAGATTCCACGTTGATTCTAGAGAGAAATGAGTGCCAACATAGACGCTGGGGCAGAAGGGGGTGGATTGTGAGATCCCACCTTAATTGGAGAGAGGAGCGAGTACCAGTGAGAACGTTAGGGATTGTGAGATCCCACATCTATTTGAGAGAGTAACGACTACCAGTGACAATGCTGGGCTCTATAGGGGTGTATTGTGAGATTTTATATCAATTGGTGAGAGGAATGAGTACCAGCAAGGACGTTGGGCCCCAAATAGGGTAGATTATGAGATCTCACCTCGTTTAGGGAGAGAAACGAGTGTCAACAAAGACATTAGATCTCGACGGGGTGGTTGTGAGATCCCACGTCTATTGGAGAGAATAATCAGTGTCAAGTGAGTACGCGAGGCTCTAAAGGTGGTGGATTGTGAGACCTCACATCGGTTGAACGAAACATTCTTTACGAGGGTGTAGAAATCTCTTCCTAGCAAACTCGCCGTAAAAGTTCAAAGTGAAGCACGAAAGCAAAAGCTCATAGAAGACAATATCAGTTACGAAATTAGAACTCAAGGAGAAGGGGGAGGTGAATGGATTGAATAAAGGCAGGCGGGTCAAAGCTAGAAGAAAGAAGAAAAGAAAGAGAAAAAGAAGAAAAGATTCTGTGGTTTTAACGAGAAGAGGCAAAGTTTTTACACCTTTCTTGGAAATGAAAATGCAAAAACACATAGGGAACCACGCTTTTGAATATCCCATGTTTTTTAAAACCCTTTCGTAACAAAAACACACAAAAGAAAACAGGGTTCTGTTCTGTTCTGTGTTGTGTTGTTTTGCTTTGCTTTCTTTTGTTCATTATTTTAGGTTGTTTCATACTCCGGACCACTCCCTGACAAACAGATATCTTCTTCCCTCACTTCATATCTATGTTCTTTGTTTCATTTCTCAAAGACAACAAAAAAACATAGCATTCTTTCATGTTCATCTCATCAAAAACTGCACATCTTTGACCCTGTCTCCCTCTGTTTCTTCACTATCTCCAAATTTCATGTACTTCTTCATGTACCCTTTTTTGTTTCTTCTCAAATTTGCTTCTTTTTTTGTGTCTCATATGCGCCAAGCATGGATTGCCACTCCCTTTCATTATTATATATATATATATATATATATATATATATATATATATATACATATACATACAATCCTGTTCTGCCATTGTTTCCTGTGCTGACTGCTCGTGATTTATTGTGGGGTCTCCCTTTTTTGCTTCACATGCTTAGAGATTTGTTCCCCTCTTGTTGTAATCATGTCAAAGATCTCATCTTTTTGTACTTTGACATTTCTTGTCTCTCATTGACTGCTTCTCTGCCGCTTTGACTTTGGAGATTATGTTTTATTCACCTTTCTTTTCAATTTCTCTCAAGGTTTGCTCCATGTGGCGTGCTGTGTCTCGGTCGGAGCTGTTGTGGCGTCGTTTGACTACTCAGATTTGGGGTCGGAGCTTTCGTCTGCTCGACACGTGGCGTGATGAATACGTCTATTGGCATACTACGGCGTGTAACTTTTGGAGACGTAGATATCTTCATACGATCCTCCAATTCGATCAATCTGATGTGGATGAGCCTGCTGGTTTGATGTGTCGTTGTCTTGCCCTCTCGTTGCATTACCTGGCATGTGGATTTGCTGACGGTACTGTTCGCCTTTTCGACCTTACCACGCGTCTCCATGTCGCGACGTTTCATCCTCACCATCGTGATCGTCTTGGCTTATTCTCGCGTGCTGTCTCTGGCATTGTCATCACCGATGCGTGCCTCGTGTTTGCCAGCGTGGATGGTGATGTCCATGTTGGAATCATAGCTGCAGCCATGAATGGTGTATCACCGACACGTCGGGTATGCGAAGGGAATGTGATGAACGACGGTGTGTTGGTGGATTTCGCTGGATGTGACCGGTGGTGGGTTGGTCTTTACGCAGGCGTACCTGGTCGGACGTTCCACGTATGGGATGGAAACACGGAGGAGCTCGTGTTTGTTGGCGGGTCACTGACGGACCCAGAAGCTGTGACAGGATGGCACATGCTGACAGAGCCAACCGAGCCAGTGGGTCGAGTACGCGTGTCGAACCAGGAATCGGCAGTGGCGTGCACTAGGCTACAGCTAATGGTACTAGACTTGAGAGATCAAGAAGTGGTATTAAACGAGGAAAATGGGGAGGTGAGGATAGTAACGTCGATGGATGTGAGCAACGAGAGGTACATTGTGGTGGACGGAGAAGGGGTGGGAATAGTAAGAAGAGTGGACACAATGGAGGAAGTTTGTAGGTTCTTAGTGAGCGGGGCGGGTCAGAGAGGGGCCATGGGATGCATCAACATGGGTTATGCAGTGATGAACTCGAGCGGGGCGATGAAAGTTTGGGAAATCGAGCATGGACAGTTTCTGTACAGGTTTAGGGAGAGGGTCGGGGCAGCCACGGCCATGGTCGCCAACGACCGGTACGTGGCGGCGTCGGGGTTCGACAGAAGGTTACATTTGTGGGATTTTGGTGCATAACTTAACAATGGTAGCAGGAGAAGTATATTGGGAGGTCTTTTTTGGGGGGTTTGTGTACAGTATGGAGGAAGAAGGAGTTGGGATTTGTAGCAGTGGGTGGGTGGGAGTGTTGTGATGTTCTTCCTTTTTTGTTGGGGTTTAGGAGAAGGGGAGAGTTTATGGGCGATTTAGATTATTATTATTATGTTCAATTTCTTTGTAAGGGGAAAAAAAAAAAAAAAAAAAAAAAAGAGGAAAAGAATAGGATTCTTCATTGTTTTTGAACAATGTATTTTCAGTTTAATTTAAGGAGGCAATTATTAAGGATTTAAACAATGATTATTGGCTTCTCCTCTCTATCATTCATCATCATTAATCCACGTTATCATAATCACAGACGGCGAAGCTTTCCCGTCCCTATTCCCACAGATGGGGACGGGGAATATAATCTTGTCTCTAGCTCCATTTATCTAGGGGAGAAAATTGTTCTACACTCCGTCTCACATTCTCCGTCTAAATAGGTGTCTAAATAGGTAGGTATCTAGCGGAGAAAAATTGTTCTACACTCCATCTCACATTCTCTGTCTAAATAGGGAATCTTCTCTGCGTTCGAGAGAGGTCCCGCCGATAAAATAGACATATCTTCGTGCAAAGCTTCTTCCAAATTTATGTTTTGATTTCACTGTTTTCTCTGCAGGTATTATTTGGCAATATTTCTATCAGACAATGATTCCATTGTTACAGAGGAGATTTATAGTTCTAATGCTTAGAATATGGGAGCTAGCAGCCATTATAACAGATGAGCATAACGAATGAACTTCCCCCAACTCTTTTCTCTCTTCTACAAAAAATGGGTTCTAGTTCTTCAGCTTAGATATGGTACGAGGACAAGAAATCTTTAACTTTTCACATCATTTGAAGAACTCTTTAATTCTTCAGCTTAGATATGTAATACAGCCAAAACAGTAATCAATCAATAGGAATCTACCAAGACAACAAGATTTTTGATTTAAACTGATAACAGAACAACAACAGCAATGGTTTTTCTAAAGATGGACGACCAACTGAACCAATCGACTTGAAAATCGATGTTCAACCGAACCGATTGGTTTCGTTTCGAGATGTTCAGTAGCCATTGATCTATCCAATGTAAAGAAATAGTTTCTGAAGAAGAAGAAGAAGAAAGAGCATTACCAACCCAGAAGTCATCCAGTCTCATACAGCGAAAGCGAGCCCACGACCGTTCGAAGGAGGTGATGAAGGGTTGCAAGTAATCAAGCCAATAATCCTTTAGAGCTAACATAAGATGTATAATCCTTAACTGAAAACTGCAAATCAATTGATTAAGAAAGACAATATGAATATATGTTTCATTTCAAGTCAAATATGGCACCATCAAGCTTACCTCTAGTCACTCAGAGTGATCCAGGAGTTCTGTGTGGAAGGGCTCTCCGTTGCCCATAGTGATTCGAGAGTTCCGTGTGGAAGGGCTCTCGCTCGATGGATCAAAGGTACGGGAGATTTTTGAGTTGGTATTAGTTCATCGTTGTCTCAAGCTCTGTAACCAGAAATGCTGGTTTCTTTGTCTTCCTCTTTTGAATAATCCCAAGATCAGGGGGAAACACATTTTTCGCCATTGAAATTCTAAGCAAGGAGCTCAGAAAGGAAATTAAGCAAGGAATCCCAAAATCCATAATCCTTCATCTTCAAAAATGTATCAGAGCCATTTCTAAACTTCTCCAAATGAGCAGAAGTCTCAAAAAACAGATCAAAAACATTTGGGGAAGAACCAAAGTCTAGGAGTACAGTAAGGATTCAAAGAACTTCGAAGGAAACTCAATAGAGCACGAATCTAACATACTCCTCAGAATTAATTCTGCAGTTCTAAGAGAAGATCAAGAACTCGAGCGAAACTACATAGCCCTTTGAATGAATCAGGTGGCTATGTATCAAGGTCTTGGCCTTTAGGCATCGGGATTGATCGGTGAGGTATTGGAATTCGATTCCAGTTTCTTTTCCCTAAGGAAACATCCAAATTAGGGTTTACAGATGCAGAATTTCTAGTTACAGAGCTCAGCAAACAGGAAAATCTAAAAAATAGCACAAACCTCACGATTTTCGCACAAATTAGGGTTTTGTGATTGAACTGGCAACTAATAAATTCAAGAAACTGTCTGCTGGATCCATTTGCAGCTCAATTCAGATGCCAAATCGAAGGAAAGCGAAAAACAGGGATTCGAATAGGGAAGATGAAATAGAAATCCTCCGAGTACAGATCCATCGTAGGAGGGGCAGGGAAAAAAAAAATTTGGACCATTTCTCGATTTGTGCGTGTCATCCTTGCGCAGGGGCCATGCTAATCTTCTCTGTATCGTTCCAATTTTATCGGATGTCCCCGAAGGGACGAACTCCTGCTTCCGCCGTGCTCTAAATATAGAATGCCTTAATGTTGATCCTAAGCGATGTGGGATTTCTCAAAGCCCCAGTAGAATATTAAATAAAAGCACCCCCAACCGTGGCATTATACCAAAAAGTAAATTAAAATAAAAAAACAATTTATTTGAGATGGTCTTATTCTTTGAATCATTATATTCAAAAGAAAATATATTAGTGATTATTAAGCTAATATTTAACGTTGATAATGGCATCAAAAATATTACTTCCCAACTTTTTTTTTTTTAATGTTTGAAAATAAATAAATAAATAAATTAGGCAGGATAAATATATTGATTAATTTTAAACTCAACCCAATTCTTTTTTAATTAATTTCAATTTTTTCTTCAATCTAATCCCTACCCTTTAAATACATAACAACAGGTGTTCTTAAGTTGGGTTGAGTCCGGTTGAGACATTTTTCAAATCTCTTAGGATACATGTGAGTAAGGATGAAACATACTAAAAGAACTCGTATTAGTCTGTGGGGATAGTTTTCAGTTTTTAGTTTCAAGAAGTGAGAAGCAGGTAACATGACCACATCTCAGAGATGCAGGGAGATGTCGGGGCCTTAAGTGCCAAGTACGAATTCCGAAATAGAAAGGGTAGAAAATGTTGAGTCAATTCAACCACCATAAAAGTACATTCATGGCTCCATTGAAATGTGACCACAAATTACAATGAAAGGTGAAGATGGGGCCATAGAGGTCTTGGCTGTCGTCATGTCACGCATTGGCTAATAATAATATGAGTGCCACACCACACCATCCATATCCAAATCTCCAGTGATATATGTGATCCCCAACGACAAATGCCCAAACAGAGCTCACTCTTCCTTCAACAATGGCCGCCAAATTCCCTCTTTCTTCTTCCCTTACCACCATCAAATTCTCACTCCAACAGAACCCATCTCCCTTCTTCGCTCCTCTTCCCTGCACCACCTTCTCGCCGCCGCAGCCAAGGCCAACGCCAAGGGCTTCTCAGTTCAAACTTCTTGCAAATTCAGGTGAAGGCCCCTTCTACTTTCGCTTGGATCTGCAGCTCACTCTTGCTGTTTTTCAGCTGCTGATGTTGTTTTTCAGGTGGTGGCGACGCCGAGGTCAAGAAGGGAGGGAAGAAGAAGTTCATAACCAAAGAACAAGAGCCAGAGCAGTAAGCAATTCTTTCCCTTTTCTGTATCAATTTGTATAGCCCACTGCTAGCTTTCCCTTTCGGGTTTCTCCCAAGGTTTTGAAATCGACGTGGGATTTCACAAGTCGTTTTTCAAGTAGAAGAAGATATCATCAGGGCTTTAAGATGGAAATGTGGTTGAATTTGGTGCAGGTATTGGCAGACAGCAGGGGAGAGGGAAGGGGAAAATCCCATGAAGACTCCTCTTCCTTATATCATCATCTTCGGCATGTCGACGCCTTTCGTGATCTTAGCCATAGCTTTTGCCAATGGCTGGGTTAAAGTACCTGTGAGATGAATCTGATCAACCATGACAGTAACCTGATATCCTCTGCTGCTTCTCTACAGCCCACCAAAAACCCACTGTTTATGCCTATTTTGAGTTGTAATGTTCTTCCAGAATCTAATACAAATTGTTGTAACTCAGTTCGATTTTGTTGTTGGTCTGTCAGCTCATATGAGTTTGGATTCTATTCCATTCCCATTTCAATACACCAAGCTGTTTTCTCGATCCTGTTGGAGCAAGAACTGTTGTGCCTCTGCAGAATGTTTGAGATATTAATTTCACGAAGACATAAACATTTAAACGAAGATACGCATATAACTCGAAACTCGAGTAATTTACAGGAGGCAATGAAAGTAAAAGTAATAGAGTTTACATGTCCAAAACCAGGCAGTGCTCACGTTGTCAATACCTCTCTCACGTGTAACGACGGGTAGAGAGTCTCATCTCTTTCCTCAAAGTCATCTTTAAGGCAAGCTGCATTTAGGTACATGTGTCAGTCCGTGGAAGAGGGGAAGAGTGAAAGGGTAACCACTACTAAGGATCTCCCCCCTAATCTTAGATAGGTCCTCTAAGGGTTCACCGTAGTTCGTTGTTGTACTTACACACTAGGCTACCCTTCTCCGAAAGCTCTACGGACCACCTACCACTAGTCTTCGGCCAGAGGGGATTCCGGATAAGCTAGAACGAAAAGAATCTATATAAATGCAGATCTCTCACTTCATTGAAACAAGTACCATTGAGGGCAAGGTCCATTGTGAACAGATATTAAAACACATGGAAATGAATCCAATTTCAAGCATTCTTCAATCTATTAGAATGATAATCTTCAATAATCTTCACATAAATAATCATTCCGGCCACAAATTTAGAAGAGGAAAAGAACAGTGGACCAAACTCTATCAATTTCTTTTCAGCAATGGCTTGAAAAGTAACATTGTGACATGTTTTTCACATAACCTGAATGTTGAACCAAGTGCCATGAATTCACCTCCAACGTTATTTTGGTATAAATGATTTAACTCGGTGTGTCGAGGCTGCACGCCAGACTGCTGACCACTTATGCAGCGAGATGATTCGTTCAAAATAGTCTCTTGCAGTTGTGGTGGTAGATCCGGTGGAGGCCTACTGAAATCATCGTCGTTGAAGTATTCGTTGTCGTAAGTAGATGGTGGGGATGGAGGAAATTCAAACTCGGACAGACTTTCGGGCAATTCCGAGACAGGTGTCTGTAAGACAATTCGATACGAATTCAAGTTAGTACTGAGCAGATGAAGAGCTTTTTCTAAGGATTCAACCATAATCAACAAAGAGTAACAATGAAGAAGAGCCAAAACTAATGAAAGAAGCATCATATCATAAGATTCAGCAGAACTTGCTGCACAGCAATGGACACGAGAACTAGGTACTAGATTTGTGTCTGTAACAGCCCAAGCACACCACTAACAAATGATGTTTGCTTGGCCCGTTACGTATCGCTATCAGTCTCACGGTTTTAAAGCACATCTACTAGGGAGAGGTTTCCACACCCTTATAAAGAATGCTTCGTTCTCCTCTTCAACTGATGTGGGATCTCACAATCCACCCCCTTGGAGGCCAGCGTCCTCATTGCCACACCACCTGGTGTCTGGCTTTGATATCATTTGTAACAGCCCAAGCAACGTTAGCAAATATTATCCGCTTTGGCCCATTACGTACCACCACCAGCCCACGGTTTTAAAACGCATCTGCTTGCTAGGGAGAGGTTTCCACACCCTTATAAGGAATGCTTCATTCCCTTCTCCAACCGATGTGAGATCTCACAATCCACTCCCTTGGGGCCCAGCATGCACACCGCTCAATGTCTAGTTCTGATACCATTTGTAACAGCCCAAGCCCACCACTAGTAGATATGTCCACTTTGGCCCGTTATGTATCAGAGCTAGGCACCGAGCGGGTTGTGCAAGCAAAGACGTTGGGCCCGCCCTAGTAGATGTGTTTTAAAACCGTGAGGCTGACAGCGACATGTAACGGATCAAAGCGGACAATATCTACTAGCGGTGGACTTTGACTATTAAAACAAACACACTCCACAAGTGGTTTTGATATCTCATTCCATCATGTCTGAATGTCCACTCTTATCAAACAAAAATCTTAACTAAACAGTCCACAAAGAGGTTTTGATAAGAAATAAAGTAAGAACAAATAGCAAATTTAGCTGTTCCATCCCTTTTCCTGTTCCTATCAGTAGAATTCTGGGAAAAAAGATTTAAACGTATGATAACTCCCCAGAGGTCCTGACCTTTCAAGCTTTACAGAACAATCGATTTCTCGTAGAACTCGAAACTCTAAAACTAGAAAAGATCAGGCCAAATCAAATATCATTTCAAGAACACGGTCAGTGTTCTTTTGGACAATCTTTGCAGGAGATGTTTACTTTATCATCTTCTTAAGATCTATACAAACGAATCCTCGAGCAAACGCCGAGAATCCAAGTAAAAAAGAACAGTAGAAATTACCATCAAGTCAAGAATATTGTAAGAATTTCCTGAATCATCACAAACCCATGGCAAATCAGGAGCATGTGTCAACCATCCATCAACAATGAATCGGTAATGGTAGATCCCCGAGGGTAGCGTTTTGACGACGATAAAATCTTTCCCTATGCTCTGCAAGATCTCCCTAACAAATGGAGATGAAATGTTCTATGTCAGACAAAAAAAGTTCAAAATAAAACATCTTAACTGCAAAATAGTACCTTGTCTCCCAGTTATCCCACGACCCAATGATAGCCACTTGCTTGCCACCATGGTTCCAAGAGAACTTCACAGATGTCCTTGGTGTGTTCAACACTTCCTCATCATTCATTGTATTATGACCTTTAAGCCTCAAAAAAGTAATTAACATGTCACATAATGTCATTAAATACAGTTTGTCCTCAGAAACTAGAGGGAACAATTGTACTTAGTCCTTGAATTCTGTGGAACTTTGAGAAGTTCCAAACAAAAGAAGAAAGTACGTCTGCCACAAGTACTTTTGCACTAGTTGTTACTGTTAAAACACCGTAATTTACATCAAGTGGGAGGGAAAAATCAGTGAAGAACAACCTTTAGAATCCAAAACTCGGAACTAGCATAGCATTGTGAGATTAGTTGGAGAGGGAAAGGAAGCCTAACTTATAAAGGTTTGGAAACCTCTCCCTAGTAGACACGTTTTAAAACCGTGAGGCTAACGACAATACGCAACGGGCCAAAGTAGATAATATTTGTTAGTTGTGGGTTTGGACTGTTACAAATGGTATCAAAGTCAGCCACTAGACAGTGCGAGACACTAGTCAGAGTAGGGATAAACCCTCTCCATAGTGGACGCATTTTAAAAGCTTGAGGGGAAGTCCAGAAGGGAAAGCCCAAAGAGGACAATATTTGCAAGCGGGGGGCTTGAGTTATTACAAATGGTATCAGAGCTAGAAACTAGGCGGTGTGCCAATGAGGACGCTGGGTTCCCAAGAGGTGGATTATGAGATCGCACATCGGTTGAAGAGTAAGGGCGAGGGCTATTACAAATGGTATCAGAGCCAGATACCGAACGGTGTGCCAATGAGGACATTGAGCTCCCAAGCAAGGTGGATTGTGAGAACCTATATCAGTTGGAAAGGGGAACAAAACATTTCTTATTAAGATGTGGAAACCTCTCCCTAGTAGACACGTTTTAAAACCGTGAGGCTAACACCATATGTAACATGCTAAAGCGGACAATATTTATTATCGGTGGATTGGAGCTGCTACAAAGGGTGTCAAAGCCAGCCACCATACCGGTACGAGGCACTAGACGGAGTAGGGATAGAACCTCTCCATAGTTGACACGTTTCAAAACCTTGAGAGGAAAGCCCAAACATAGCTTGAGCTATTACAGCATACACCAAACAAGCAAGCCAGACATCCAACTCTTATACATGTATACACATTTTTCTTCTGTTTTGTTCATAAAAGCAATGAAAGGGAGGAAAACAAAACCCAGCATCCAGATTCTATTGAAACAAATTAAGGCATACCTCTACTGGGGAGACGAAAGCCACAAGATGAGTATCAACAAAACCCACAGAATACTCAAGTATTGGTTCACCACACTTGTTCGTGTTCTCATAATTCAATTGAGCAGAAGGGTGTTCCCCATCTTCTCAATCCCTTTCCCTAGCATTCACTACCACTTCAAAACAAAAACAAAGCAAAACCCAGTTCAGATATCAATCGCTCGTCACAACAAACGCAAGATTTCAAGAAAAGAAGAAGAAGAAAAGAAGAAATAAACCCAATTATGAGGAAGAATTGCAGCAAAAACAAGCACCCAAATCGAGAATTGAGTGAAGAAATGAACGCACCAGAACTTCGACCCATGAATCTGCTCTACATATTACACAATTTTAATCGATAAAACACTGAATCGGAAGGAACACTTCCAATTTTCCCTCTTCCTTTTTGGGTTCTTTCTCTTCCCATCCCCTTCCCTCTTTTGCTTCTACTCTACAAATTTAACCTAGGAAGAGAAGGGCGGGGGGGTAAGTTTTTAATCTCCAATAAATTTGGAAGATACCAGGGAGCGCGGGTGGAGAGTGGAGACTTTATTTATAATTAAACATAATTAAAAACTTCGTTTTTTCGTACAGTTGCGAACGAACTCTTCTTGGTCGTTTATGCCCTTTCCATCCACCAATAATTTCACTCCACGTCACACTCCTATATTGTTTTTACTCTTTTAACCCCCAACAATGAAATACTTGAATGAGGTGAGGTTCCAATTGTTTAAGGTTTTAGTTGGTGAGTGATGTTGCCTTCTAACTTGAGTTGGTTCGAGATGATGAGCGTGGAACATGCAAGGTTGAATGAGGTTGGGTGCCTTCGAACGTGTCGCATGAACATCGTCGAGCATGGTTGATTTAAGAGTAAATGCAATGAGGGATACAATAGCAAAAATCAAGAAGTTGAAGGAGCAAATAGCAATACCATAAAATATAAAAAAGATAGGATGTGTCGGCCAGCACGCTGGGCCTCAAAAGGGAAAACCCAAAGATAATTATATCTGCTAACGGTGGGTTTGAATTGTTACACATGGTATCAGAGCTAGATATCAAGCATTGTGCCAACAATGATGCTGGACCTCGAAGATGGTGGACACTGGGAAGTGCGCCAACGAGGACACTAAGCCCTGAATAAGGGCGGATTGTGAGATCCCACGTCGATTGGAGAGGAAAACGAGTGTCAGCGAGGACGCTGGGCCCTAAAGAGGTGAATTATGAGATCCCACCTCAATTGAAGAGGGAAATGAAGCACTCTTTATAAGGATCTAGAAACCTCTCTCAGCCGCTTCAGAGGGTAACACAATTAAGGTTTTGATTTTTTTTTTCTTTTTTTAATTAAAATTAAGGCATATAATAAATCCTCTTTCTTATTATCTGGTTTGAAAACAAAAATAAATAATTATTTAATTTCTCCACTATTAGTTTAATTAATAGAAAATTATCATGATCAATTAAATGAAATTCAAATGACCAACACAATTAATTCCTACTCATGACTTTAAATACAATTTTGTTATTAATCATTTTACTAAATTAATATACATTATTATTATTATTATTATTATTTTACTTTAAAACAAATATAAACTAATTAATCATTTAAATTTGAAATTAATACTTTAATTAATAACAAACAAATATATATATATATATTACATAGTTCTAAACTCACATTTCACATAAATATAAAAAATCAAAATGATTTTGGAAAATTGTTTATATAATTGCGACAATTATAGGTTAGGTTGGTTGGTAGGGAAACATTAGAGTAAATGGTCTGTACTGTCACGTTTTCATGTAATAATAAATTTTATTTTTATAAAAAAAGTACACCTTATTTTAATTAATTAATTTAATCTATGCCTTTTACTTAATTTCCTAATTAACATGATTAAATCATTTTTCCCTTTTCGTTTAATTTTTTAATACACGTCATATATCGAAATTCGTGTCTGATTAAAAAATTCATATAAAAAAAATGCATTTTAATTTATAATTATTTTACTCTATTAATAATAATTATTATTATTATTTAGTTTATTAATAATTAATATAATTTGCTTTTTTTTTTTTTCCACACAACCCTAAAATTTCTCGTATAAGAATTAAATAAACATTGTTATATGAATGGTAGGTTACTCTAAAGAACATGAACTAAGAGACGACAAATTGTAACAACAGGGGTCACATTCTTAATTAAACATGCTTAGTTTGGAACGGTTCTCTGTTGGGTGAGCTCGTGAGAATTTTCTCGGTAACTCAATGAGAAAAAAACTTTTTTGGTGACTCTTGGAACCCTCAAACACGGGATCTTGTAGTATATTACTGTGATTCAAATGTGATCTAGACCCATGTAACCCTAATTTTACTCCGACACAGATTACTCTCATTTAGATGTAGTTTGGAGGCATGTAACCCTAATTTTACTTTGACGTTAGGAGTCGTAACGTATTTGGATGAAAGAATACGGGTCTCGGGAAACAAAAGAAATTAAGTAAGATATGGTCCCCTCCCAATTTGATGAATGGAAATTGGCATCCAAAACATTCCTAAGTCACACAATCTCCAAGGAAGCTTGCTGGTTTTGTTCATCACATTCCTTGTTTCAAGGCAAAGTTACTCAAAGCTCGAAACCATTTCCCATTTTATAGCTTTATTTTTAGGGTTTGAGTTTGTTCCCAATGTCTTCTCGTCTTCCTCTTCTCTTTCCTTGTACTCAATTCCTTGAGCTTATTAGGGTTTCATGTCCTATGGCACTGCTTTATTTGTGCAATTGGCCGACAGGTGGCTATTCAAATAAAAACCCTAAAACCTATAACATCACAAAACGGGTCGATCCATCGCTAAACTCCAAAAAATAATATCAAAGCAGGATTCGATACGCTTTACTTATCTGTTGCGTTGTGAGAACGAAAAACTGTTCCCTATAAAGTAACATCAGTCACTAATTGTCCTTTCGACGTCTTTTCTTCAAGGTCACCCAATATATGATCGCTCTAACTAAAGTTCACTAGACGAAGTCTTTTTTATAGTATCGGGATCGCTCTTATTCAGATATGATGTTGACTTGTTTATGTCATTGTCATTCTCATAATCGTCTCGTCGTTCGTGATGTTCTAAAAGTCTCACATAACTATGAGAACTTGTACTCAAAATGAACATGTTTCAACGTCGTACACACTTTTTCTTTTAAGTAATTGGGTTATACGTGTTTGAACGTCGCTAACACTAATTAAGATCACACCACACACAAAAACCACAACCCTCTCCAAAACTCTCTTTCATATAGACAATTTGGGAATTTATCCATCCATCTTCAACCCTATCCCCCGTTAATAAATATTGTCCGTTATAGTCTGTTACGTATCGTCGTCAAACTCACAGTTTTAAAGCGCGTCTACTAGGAAGAGTCTTCCACACACTTATAAGAAATGTTTCGTTCCCCTCTCCAACTGACGTGGGATCTCACAATCCACCCCTTTGGAGTCCAAGCATCCTTGCTAACCCATCGCCAGTGCCTAGTTAATCCCACCGCTACTAGATACTGTCCGTTTTAGTCAGTTACGTATCGTCATCAGCTTCATGATTTTAAAACGCGTCTACCAGAGAAATGCTTCCACACCCTTATAAGAAATGTTTCGTTCCCATTTCCAACCGATGTGTGATCTCACGACGATTCAACTTTCCCTCTACCTTTTCCATTCAACAAGAGAGAAGGAAAAAAAAAAAAAAAAAGACGTCAAATTGAAGATGGGTAATGAACATGAACAGAAGGACAACAATTTGAGCCAACCTTCAGCCAAAGTGCCCCACCGACCGCAGCCGGCCGGCCATGGGAGACCCTAAAAAAGCTTGGTAACAACATGCTTATGCCAAAGATCACAAAAAACCTACTCAAAATCATCATTAAAACTCCATAAAGCTTCAAACTTTGGTCAAAACTTCACAATCCATCTCATGGGTATGCAAGATTTTGGCCATTTTTTAGTCAAATTTAGGCCTAAATGGATTCTCAGCTGGGTTTTATTGATGGTGTTAGCAGTAAAAGATTCAAAAAAATGGCTGTCGGGAGGGGCAGGGGACGCCATGTGGTGAGCACAGAGATTAGCACATGCCATCTCTCTAATTTCCATAGGTTTTGGGGTTTTCAAGAGAATCACTTGCGGAATAACACCACCAAAAAAAAAAAATTAAAAACTTTCATCCTCAACCCACCACTTACAAAACCCATATGATCATCTCCTTCATGTTCATAAAAATGGAGTCTTTCTCAACCCTGTTTGTTTCCTGAGAAAATATTTCACCTTTCTTTCCCGAGAAAATTACTAGGATCAAATGGCTGATCTTTCTTTGAGAAACCCATTAATTTGGTTAATTTCTTTCACTTTTTTCCTCCTCTCTTGGGGTTTTTTGGGATTCTCATCTCTTTTACTTACCTCAATACCTCTGATTATATCTATGCTTTATTTTTCAATCGCCAAAAGAAATTCATTTCCAATTGAGAAATTCATCGAAGAAGAAAAAAAAGAAGTGACTTTTGTCTCTGATCGGAAATCCTCGCCGACGGCCGGCGGTTTACTGCCGGAGAGTGAATGTGCCGACGATAATTTCACAACCACCGAGGACTCCGAAGTGGGGTGGGGGGCTTTCGACCGGTTTAAGGCAAAAACCCTAGACCAGTCCGATGAGGGTTCGATTTCCGACGAGGAAAGTTTGATCGAGATCTCTCTCCCGACCGGTCATTATGTCAGCCACGAGTTCGAGGACGAGGAAGAAGAAGAGGACGACATGTCGTCTTGTTACCGGGAGCTACCGGAATTTGAGAAGCAGAAGAAGAATCTTATGGAGCTGTTGGCTGAAATTAACGACATCGACGAGGAGAATTTGATAGAGATCGACATATCCATGGGCTCCATTAAGTATTCAAGGTTTGAAATTGGAGGAAGGAAATAAAAAGTAAAAATAAAAACAGTAATTTTGGAGATTTATTACTGTAAATGGGTTTAGATATTTTATTTTTGTGATTTAAATTAGTTTTTACGTTTATGGATTTTGTGTTTTTAATTAATCCCATGAAAAAAAAAAAAAAGTCTGTCCCGTCCACCCCTCGTGCTCACCCTAATCGATATTGTTAGCTTAGTTACTTATCGTCGTCAGCCTCACAATTTTAAAATTCATCCTATCTGTAAGAGAGAGATTCCTACGTTAGAAATGTTTCGTTACATTTTCCAACCGATAGGGTATCTCACAATCCACTCCCTCTTGAGGCCAACATCGTTACACACCGGTTGGTGTCTAGCTCTGATACCATTTGTAACAGCTCAAACCCACTATTAATAGATGTTGTCGGCTTCAATTATATGTCATTTCGATGATAATCTAGATAGAAAGGGTACAAATACAAAATATCATTCCTATCCTAAAGATATTATTAGTTCTAGGGATTTAAACATTAAAAAGTTTTGCCATAAAATCAC